GAACGCCCCCCTTCCCATGAGGTTTTAGTCGCCCCCACACCCCCGGCTCATACCTGCTGTCCACAAGGCTCCCATGTGGCCGCCATCTTTCTTTCCAGAGGGAGGAGGGCGGAAGGGACCAACACCCTTTCCCCTCCGGGCAGACATGATGGCCTGGATTAACGCACAGTCCTTTCACTTTTCTGCTCCAAGCTGCCGGGTTCTGCATTAAGTCCTTGTGCTTCTGGGGCTGTGGCCGTGCTGGAGAGCCGCTCGTGGGGGGCAACTGGTGACCTCGGTAGGGCGTGAAGGACGGACTGGAACGCCCCCCTTCCCATGTGGTTTTAGTCGCCCCCAGAGCCTTGTGTGTTTTTATATATATGTATACATGTAAAATAATTATTTCCCTCTAAGATTGGTTGCCTCCTACTTTGAACCCCATCAAATGTGTTATGTACTCTTGGAGTATGGGTAGGGGATGTAGTATGAAGTGGCTGTGTGGTCCAGGAATAGGTTCACTTGTGAGTGAGGCTTTGCCCAAGCGTGTGGAGAGCATGGGGGTGCTTGAGTTCTGGAGGTTTTTGGCTGCCAGGGCTGGGTCCCTTGGGGTGGGGAGGGGGTCTCACCCGCTCCCCTCTGGGGCTTCCCAAGTGAAACAGCCTGGCTCAGGTTACAGCCACATGGTTGTGACGAGTGTTATGTTGTGCTTCCTTCCGTGAGAGAAGGGCATGCAATCTGGATGGTGACCCATGACGAGATTATCTGGCACCAACCAGAGGTGGCTTATGGGTGTGACTTGAGTTGCCAGAGACAGTATATGGGTAGCGGATCTCCGTTCCCGCTCCTGTTGAACCCAGAGTTCTCAGTCACAAAGTCCTGGGAAACGTCACTTTCTAAGGACTCTTCATGGTTCTTGATACAGCTGTCAGTTTCACATCTTGATCAGGGTTAGATAAAAGTAATAAAGCTTGTGGGATTTGGTTTCTATGTCATAGAATAATTGTCCAGCTGCATGTCTAGCCCAGAATTTACTTCCATATTACATAGTAAGCACATCTACTGTGGTGTCAAGTCAGTTGTGTTTGTATGATAGTTTCTCTGACTATGACCCTGTGTGAAAACCCAAAGGCTTCCTAAGTGCAAGAGTGTGCATGACACTGAATGACGTCCTGAGACCTGGAACTGTGTCTTTTTTTTTTTCCCCCCTTTATTTTATTTTTTTTTAAGTTGTAGATTTACAATTTTTTGTGCTTTGGTTTCAATTATACAATGATCAGATACCCATCCCTCCACCAGTGCCCATTTTCCACCACCATGGATAATATCCCTCCCACCCCCATCCCCCCATCCCCCCGTCTCTGTGGCAGGGCAATCCCCTGTGTTCTCTCTCTCCTTTTGGGTGTTGTGGTCTGCAAAAGAGGCATTGAGTGGCAAACATGTTCAGTCCATAGTCTACTTTCGACATGCATCTCTCCTCCTGGGAGGATCCTCCAAACATCCTTTATTTGGTGCTCCCTTCTCTATCTGAACTGCCCTTTCCTCTAGGATACCCGGCTGGCCTCTAAGTTATGGAATAGTCCTCCTGGTGCTGATCTCAACTATTCTTGGGTATTAATCTCATACTTTGTTACTTTATATCCCCCAGATGAATGCAATCTTTCTATGTCTATCCCTCTCTTTCTGACTCATTTCGCTTAGCATGATACTTTCCATGTTGTACCACTTGTATGTAAATTTCATGACTTCATCTTTTCTAACAGTTACATAGTACTCCATTGTGTAGATGTACCAAAGTTTCTTTAACCAGTCATCTGTTCTTGGGCATTCAGGTTTCTTCCAGTTTCTGGCTATTGTAAAGAGTGCTGCAATGAACAAACAAGTGCAGATGTCACTTCGACTACACATTTTTGCCTCTCTGGGATATATTCCCAGGAGTGGTATTGCTGGGTCAAATGGGAGCTCAATTTCTAATTTTTTGAGAATCGTCCATACTGTTTTCCAGAAGGGCTGAACCAGTGGACATTCCCACCAACAGTGAAGGAGTGTCCCTTTCTTGCCACATCCACGCCAGCATCGGTTGCTTTTGTTCTTTTGAATGTGGGCCAGTCTCTGAGGTGTGAGATGGTATCTCATTGTGGTTTTGATCTGCATCTCCCTGATGATTAATGATGTAGAGCATTTTCTCATGTGCTTTTTTGCCATTCGGATTTCTTGTTTGAGAAAGTTTCTGTTCATTTCATTGCCCCATTTTTGGATGGGGTTGGATGTTTTCTTCTTGTGGAGTTTAACCAGTATTTTGTATATCCTGGATATCAACCCCTTGTCAGATGTGTATTCGGTGAATATCCTTTCCCATTCTGTAGACTGTCTTTGTATTTTGGTCACTGTTTCTTTGGAGGTGCAGAAGCTTCTTAGTTTAAGATAGTCCCATTTATCTATCTCTGTTTTCACTTGCTCGGCCAGTGGCATGGCATCTTTGAAGATACCATTAGCTTCAATGTCATAGAGGGTTTTGCCAACTTTATCTTCAATGTACCTTATGGTTTCTGGTCTGATGTTGAGGTCTTTAATCCATTTTGATCTTACTTTTGTACATGGTGTTAGGCAGAGTTCTGAGCCTATTTTTTTGCATGTAGCCGTCCAGTGATGCCAACACAATTTATTAAAGAGGCTTTCCTTACTCCACTTCACATTACTTGCACCTTTATCAAAGATTAGATGAGCATATGATTGAGGAGAGATGTCAGTGTATTCAACCCTGTTCCATTGGTCTGCAGTTCTGCCTTTGTTCCAGTACCATGCTGTTTTAATTATTACTGCTTTGTAGTACAGTTTGAAGTTCGGGAGGTTGATTCCTCCCATTTTCTTTTTCCCAAGAATTGCTTTAGCTATTCGTGGGGGCTTATTGTTCCATATAAATTTCAAGAGTGTTTGCTCCATTTCTTTGAAGAATGTCATGGGTATCCTTATAGGGATTGCATTGAATTTATACAATGCTTTCGGTAGTATTGCCATTTTGACAATGTTAAGTCTCCCGACCCATGAGCAGGGGATATCTTTCCATTTCCTCATGTCCTCTTTTATTTCCTGAAGTAGCGTTTTGTAGTTTTCTTTGTACAGGTCCTTTACTTCCTTAGTTAAGCTGATTCCTAGGTACTTGATTTTCTGGGGCACAATTGTGAATGGGATTGTTTTTTTTCATGTTGCTTTCTTCTCTCTCACTGTTTGCGTATAGGAAAGCCATGGACTTTTGGGTATTGATTTTATAACCTGCAACTTTACTATACGAGTCTATTGTTTCTAGGAGTTTTTTGGTGGAAGTTATTGGGTTCTCTAAGTAGAGTATCATATCATCTGCGAATAGTGAGAGCTTGATTTCTTCCTTTCCTACCTGAATGCCCTTAATATCTTTTTCCTGCCTAATCGCTATTGCAAGTACTTCCAGTACTATATTGAACAGCAGTGGAGAGAGTGGGCATCCCTGTCTCGTCCCTGATCTTAGAGGGAAGGCTCTCAGTTTTTCCCCATTGAGGATGATGCTTGCTGTAGGCTTGTGGTAGATGGCTTTAATTATGTTGAGGAAGGTCCCCTCTATACCCATTTTGGCTAGGGTTTTCATCATAAAGGGGTGCTGGATCTTATCAAATGCTTTCTCTGCATCTATTGATATGATCATATGCTTTTTATCTTTTCTTTTGTTGATATGGTGGATTATGTTGATTGATTTCCGAATGTTAAACCATCCTTTCATCCCTGGGATGAATCCTACTTGGTCATGGTGTATGATCTTTTTGATGAGTAGTTGGATTCTATTTGCTAGTAGTTTGTTGAGGATCTTTGCATCTGTGTTCATCAGGGATATCGGCCTGTAATTCTCTTTCTTTGTGGTATCTCTGTCTGCTTTTGGTATCAGTGTGATATTTGCTTCGTAGAAACTGTTTGGAAGTGTTTTTGATATTTCAATTTCGTGGAAAAGCTTAAAGAGCATCGGGAGTAAGTCCTCTTTAAAGATTTGGAAGAATTCACTAGTGAATCCATCCGGGCCAGGACTTTTGTGCTTGGGGAGACTTTTTATTACCATTTCAATTTCCTTGATGGTGATAGGTCTGTTCAGGTATTCCAGGTCTTCTTGGTTCAGCCTTGGGAGTCTGTAGGAGTCTAGGAATTTATCCATTTCCTCGAGGTTTTGATGTTCCGTGGCATAAAGCTTCTCAAAGTACTCCCTGAGGATCCTCTGAATTTCTGTGGTTTCTGTTGTAATGACCCCCTTTTCATTTCTGATTCGGTTTATTAGGGTTTTCTCTCTCCCTTTCTTTGTGAGTTTTGCTAGAGGCTTATCGATCTTGTTAATTTTCTCGAAGAACCAGCTTTTGGTTTCATTGATCTTTCGGATTGTTTTTTGGGTTTCCATCTCATTAATCTCTGCTCTGAGTTTTATTATTTCCTTTCTCCTGTTCGGGTTGTGCTCCTTTTTTTGGTCCTTCTCCAAGCTCTTAAGCTGTGAGGTTAGGTTACTTATGTGTGCTCGCTCCTCCTTCCTGAGGAATGCTTGTAGAGCTATAAACTTTCCTCTTAACACAGCCTTTGCTGTGTCCCATAAGTTTTGGTAACTCGTGTTCTCATTTTCATTCGTTTCTAGGAATCTTTTTATTTCCTCTTTGATTTCCTGTCTAATCCACTCGTTGTTCAATAGTGCACTGTTTAATTTCCAGGTGTTTGATTTAGTTTTCTGTTTTTGTGTGTGATTTACTTCTAATTTCAGCGCATTATGGTCTGAGAAGATTGTTGATACAATCTCTACCTTCTTAATTTTATGGAGGCATGTTTTGTGGCTCAGCATGTGGTCTATCTTGGAGAATGTCTGGAACTGTGTCTTGATGGTAGTAAGAACCAATTATAAGACTTCACATTTGAAAATTACTTACATTTGAAAATGATACAATTATTATGTCATGAAAATTGGATAACATATTAGAAGATGATTCATATCATTGATTTAAGCTTTTCTCTTTTACATACAGGATTATGATCTTTTGGGTGAAAAAATAATGTCCTGTGGTATGGATCACTCACTTAAACTTTGGAGAATCAATTCAAAGAGAATGATAAATGCAATTAAGGAATCTTATGATTATAACCCAAATAAAACAAACAGGTAACCATTGTGGTATTTATAACAACTTGTTGTAATACACTGTTGTGTAGATGGTGTTTTGCTTTTTCCAACATTTCCCTCTAAGACTCTCAACATTGGAGGCTGTTTTTAATCACTATATTTATAAGATTTTGACCATAAAGTAGTCACCACTAGTGATGCTTTTAATGACTCTCTCTTAGTTTTCAAAATTCTCTGTTTTCCTCTTAGAGTACATCTCACTTACAGCTTAGGTGTATGCATGGCATTTTGTATGTGGGTGCACGGAATCAAACTGAACACCTAACATTTGAGGGGGCATGTGTTTTATCATTGAACTATATTTCAATATAAAAATGTTACGCCACTTAACTTTATTATGAATTTAAAGACCTGTCAAAATATATTGCTAGGGGGCCTGAGTGATAGTACCGCAGGTAGGACGTTTGCCTTGTGTGTGGACGGCCCCAGGTTCAATCCCCAACATCCACCGTTAGATGTTTTGTTTGAGCCACTTGAGTGGCAGTCGCCCTATCTGCTGTAGTATCACTCTAGCCCCACTTAAAATGGACTTAAGAGGTGTAAGGCAGTGTCTTTGAATACTTTCTTGATTCACTGACCCTATTTCTGACTTGTAGGAAACTGTTAACACCTTCTCTGTAAGTATGTTAACTTTGCAGTTTTGATTCACTAACATTCATTAAATCCCAGGAAAGTCTCTAAAAATTAGGTTTCACATTTGTATTTGAAAACTCAAGGAGCTACTAATTTTTTCTCCCTATAGCAGAGCTGTTAGGTTTCACTGCTTAGGAATAGTATTTAGTAGTGCAGGTCTTCTCCAGTCGAGAATCACACAATAGTTGTGTAATAGGCTTGAAACGAATTAACATTGCTAGTTGCAAATATATTTTGGGGGCCTGGAGTGACAGTACAGTGGATAGGGTGTTTGCCTGAATATATATGTGTATATATAATCAGCTGGAGCAGTAGCACAGCAATTGGGGTGCTTGTCTAGCATGCAGATGTCCTGGGTTTGATACCCAGATTCTCATTTGGTCCCCTGAGCACCGCTGAATGTGGCCCCAAAATTAGAAAAAAAAAATTCAGATTATTAATAATGTTTTAATGCTGTAGAATTTGAATTGGAAATAATGTTAGAGATCATTTAGTTCACTGCTCTTCCTGTGAGGGAAATGGTAAAAAAGGATATGGGAATTGCACAATACATAGTAAATCATAAGGTAAAAGGTAAAGGTAAAGGCCCTCCCGTTGATCGTCTGTTTGCTCGAGCGGGCCCAGTAACGTCTCCATTGGAGACTTTGTTGTTACTGTGTCTGGCATATCGAATACTCTCGGTAGCTTGCCGGGCTCTCCGAGAGGGGCGGAGGAATCGAACTCGGGTCGGCCATGTTGGCCGCTTGTAAGGCGAATGCCCTACCCGCTGTGCTATCGCTCCAGCCCCATGGCATATCATAATACCATGATAGTTGTATCAAAATCAGAAAAATCTATTTATGGTTTTTTCTTTAAAGACAGTGTTCACAAAATGTTCTATTTTGCTAAATACAAGAAAAAGTTCTGATGTCAAATTCCTATCAGAAGCATTTTCCATTTTCAGAAACTAGTTAAAAGATGAGCTCTCATCTTTCAAACTTTAGCAGTCTTTCAAATATCATTCCTGAAATGGTAACTCTTGAGATCTAGATATGTTGACTTACAAAGACCATTAATTCCTGCTTGACTTATTTGGGTTTGTATTGTTTTCTCAATTTGTGGTGCTTGCTTTTGAACCTAGGGCCTCATGCCGGCAAGGCCTGTGCTCTGCTGCTGAACCAGACGCTGAGCCCTGTTGCTTACATTTATTACATATTTCATTTTTCTTGGTTTTAATAGTTTTTTTCCTATATAAAACTCAGTGCTATAATCAGATATACTTGATTATCATTGGTTGGGATAGCCAGTGTAGAAATGATTAAGTGTTTCTAATAGTTAGAAATTTGAAGTTTTGTAAATGATACTTTCTAGGATAAAATATTGAGAGCTGATAATGAAACCAAAAATGGAATGAAATGCTAATTTGCAAGTAGATGTGTGAAGATAGTTTGTTTTATAGTCATTTTATTTTTTCACAATTTTATAAATCCAAAAATGAAAAATCACTGTGGTTCTACTATACTTTTTCCTCTTAACTTTTGACATTTCCATTTCAGGCCATTTATTTCTCAGAAAATTCACTTTCCTGACTTTTCTACCAGAGACATTCATAGGAATTATGTGGATTGTGTACGATGGTTAGGTGATTTGATACTTTCCAAGGTATGGTAATTGCTGTTAAGCTGTACTTCCATTGTGTGAGTTGGAACTGCAGGGAGAATAGTCTTTTAATGCTGTTTGGTAATTGGATGGCAGATGGGAGAAGATTGCCTGCTTTTTCTTTTTTTTTTTTTTTTAAGTCTCATGTTTTTTTTTTTTGTTTGTTTGTTTGTTTTTATTCTTTAAAGATTTAGAAACTTGTTTTAGGCATAAAACGTCCTGAGGAGTTATTTTTGTGTTCCCAGTGAGGTGAAAATTGTTAAATTGTAATATGATCTTGTCCTCTGCTAATGTATAAGTAATATCTAAAGCCAGTGTTTGGTTTGGTTTTTGTGGTTTTTTTTTTGTTTTGTTTTGTTTATGTGTGTGTTTGTGTCTTTCAGTAAACTTATGTACAAAAACAGATGGCTAACGTTGGCTTATAGGCTGTGACGGGCCAACCCTGGCTGTAGCATGCATATTGTTGGAATCATGTGCATAGACACTTTTTTTGCTGATATTGTCATCTGAACATTTAGTATTGGCAAATTTGGAGAAATTCTAGTCAGTTCCTTTTCTTGATACGGATTTCAGGGCACTTTCTCGGACAGAAGCTTTTTACATCCAAACACCACTTTATTTTTTAAATCTTAAGAGTCAGAGTTTCAAAGATAGTGCAGAGAGGTCCCATTTTGTCCTTCACCCCCATTGGTTAAAATAACTATGATACATTATCAAATAGAAAATTGACCTTTGTACAGTATGTGTTTAGTTCCTTGTCATCACATAGAAATTTTCTCATTTAGAAAGTTGCAGTCAAAAAAAATGCCATCCTAGTTGTATGTACCAATGATTCTCTCCCTTTTTGTTGCTAAGTAGTATTCCATGTATGGATGAACCACCATCACAGTAACTACTCATTTGTTTTAGGACATTTTGGTACTTTCTCTTTGGGGCTATGACAAAGCTTCAAATGAACATTCCTGTACAGGTTTTTGTGTGGACTTAAATTTTCATTTCTCTGGGATAAATGCCTAGAAAGGGCAATTGGTGGGTCATGGTTAAGTTTGTTTAGTTTTTTAAGAAACTGCCAAACTATTTTCCAGAGTGGCCGTGCCATTTTACATTCCCACCAGAAATGTAAGAAAGATCCAGTGTCTTCGAGTCTTCGCCGACATTTGGTATTGTCACTATTTTTTATTTTAGCTGTTCTGATAGGTGTGTCATATCTCATCATGGTCTTAATTTTGCATTCCTCTGATGGCTAGTGATGTTGAACATCTTTTTCATGTGATTATTTACCATCCATATATCCTTTCAGTATTGTCTCTTCATATCTTTTACTCATTTCTAATTGGACTGGGATTTTGTTGTTGGTTTTTCTATTGTTGAATTTTTGGGAGTTCTTAATATAACTAGTGTGCAGATATTTTTAGCTTGTCTTTTCATCCTCTTAATAAGGACTTATGCAAAACTTTTTTTTTGCAAAACATTTTTTAATTTTGATAAAATCTGATTTTTAAGAATATTTTATGGACCATGCTTTGTTTTCTAAAACCTCTTTACCAAGCACTTTTTTTTTAAACAAGTATCAGTAGTGGAACTTTGCATGCTTTTTATTTGCTGAGGGTACAAAGAGCTACATTCACTAAAGGACATTTCTGTAGGATGTTTTCTTCATTGTCAGAAGAAACTGCTTTATATAAACATCTGTTGTATTGTTTTATATTCTATTTCAAGTGTGATCCATCTAAAGTTAATTTTTGCTAATTTTAAATGCCAGTCCTATTTCTCTTGGTGAGAGAGGTTTGGGCCACACCTGATGGTGCTAAGGTTTTCTGTATTTGGTTCTGCTAAGCAAAACAAATGCCTTAATCCCTGTACTGTTTCTCTGACTCAGTAGCATTTATTTTTGCTTCTAGACACTCAGTTGTTTTGGCAGCATTTGTTGGAAGATTTGGATTGCTTTTGTACCATAGTCAATTATTTGACCATACTTGGTTTCTGGTTTTCTATTTATTCTGTGCTCATCAGTGCAGTTTAATATGGCCTTGATTACTAATAAACCTTGGAATTGGTAGAGTGATTTCTCTCCTCTTATTCTTCAAAATTATTTTAGCTACATTAGTGCCTTTTGCAAGTTTTAGATTGATCTTGCTGTGTTTTTGAAAACTACTACAGAAGTTTGCTTGGGGAGAGTGTTTATTGAAGTTGTGTAGCTTTACTCTTGCAGAGTCTTCCAGTTTAGAGTATGGTAGTTCCTTTTATTTAGAACTTCTTTGCTTTTTAAAAAATTTCCAGCATTTTGTGTTTTTTAGCATGTAAGTCGTGTACATGCTTAAGCTAGATTTACATCTAATATTTCTATAAGTGGTTTCAAATGGTACTCTTGGTTTTTGGACCACATTTTAGTAGTGCTGTGGGTGGGGATGCAGGACACACCCAGAGATGCTTGAGGACCACATAGCTGAGGATTCAATCCAGGACCTCATACATGAAAGTCAACGTAAGCCACACTTTTTCTTGCCTAATCACGCTGGTAGACTTGGTTTTCTGTGTTGAGTAGCAGTGTTAGTAGTAAATACCTTTCATGATTCCTCTATGTTGCTGAATTGTATTTTATGAAAGGATTTTTGTGTTTCTATTCACTGGGTGTGATAGTAAGGTTTCTTTTTTGTACTGACTAGTTTTTAATGATCCTTCGTAAAACGAATTGGAAAACCTTGCCTGCTTCTTGAAAGTTTATGTAGAACGAATGTTTATGTAGAATGAATGTCTTCAATAGGTTTCTTTTTTTTATGTAGAATGAATGTCTTCAATAGGTTTCTTTTCTTTTTGGGGGGGGGGTCCACAGGCAGTGATGCTCAGGGGTTACTCCTGGCTCTGTACTTAGGGAATTACTTCTGACAGTGCTCAGGGACCATATGGGTTGCTGTGGATCAAACCTGGATCAGCCACATGCAAGGGAAACATCCTACCCACTGTAATCACTGTAATATCAGTTTGATCTCCTGGATGTTAATTCTTCGAATGGTTGATAGAATGCCGTTATCTATTACCTAGAAAATTTTGAATGGGTGTTTGGAAATTAAAATTAGTGATTCTAAACAAAAAGTTGTTTATATTTTACTTTGTCACATTGTATAGGTTTTGGTAGTTTGTACTAATTTGAGGAATTGATGGTATCTATCTAAAGTAAACACTTGTATAGTGCTAATTAGTCTGTTGCTTTCTGCAGGTGTGATAGTCAAGGGTCTGCTTTCACTTATGGCTCCATTTATACCAGTGATTTTTATCTTTTTAATTTTTACTTCTGTTTTGCTTTTTGGCCAGTTTTTGCTAGGGTTTCTATTTTATTCTTGTGACAGTTCTGTTGTTTGACTGACTTCCCCACCGGTAGGCCTAAGACATTTGAAGTATGTTCTATTTTGAAGGGGGTGTGCTCAGGGATCACTCCTCCTGGTGCCCTGGAAGTCAGACCTGGTCGCCACACACAGGCGAGCACTGTACCTGCTGTCCTGTTGCCCCACCCTGAGGATGTACTCGTGTGGGTTGGGGTGGGGAAGTGACACTCATTAGGGCTGTGGGCTTAATACTCAGTGCTGTAATCACACAGTGATTGAACCCACATCGTTTGCTTGCAAGCCAAGAGCCCTCCAATTGCTATTCTTTTGCACTAGTCTTCTATTACTAGTTTTTTAATATGTTTTTTAATATTATTGAACTGAGGTTTTTGCGGGTGCCTAGACGGAATTAACCAGTGATTCATACATACATATTAAGCTTTGTCCCTTACCCAGTACTTTTCTAATGTCTGCATTTGATGCTGTACATTTGTGTGATTTATGGTGTGCTAGGTTTGAAGTGTTGGAAGATTGCCTGGTATCATTATCTGAATTTTTAATTTGTTTCAGTTATGATAATATGTGGTTTTGATTTTTCTAAATTTTTTGAGCTTTTTTTATGACCCTATTCCAGTTCTGTTTCATGAGAGCTGGATGAGAATAAATGTGTATTTTACTCCCGAGAGGGTCAGTTGCTGAGAAACAGTAGTTGGTGCCTCCAGCTGTAATTGTGGATTTCCCCTTTTTTCTCTTCAGCTCAGACATTCTGCAGCTACTACATATGCATATTTAGTGTTTCTGAGATTCAATGACTTGGTTCTTACTGAGTTAGTTATACGATCTCTGATTTCCCTTGCTTTGAAGTAAAATGGCTGTTCCCGCTTCCTTTTGATTGTTTGCTACACATTTTTCTCATCTTTTTATCATAATCTCTGCATGTTATTGAGTTGGATTTCTTACAGATGTGTCTACAGTGCTGTGTCCAGTTCATATGTACTTACCTGTACATAGTATTGTCCTTTTAAAAGATTTCATAATTTGAGTGTATTTGTGTAGTTTTTATTTGTTCTGAACACACAATATCTACTGTGTGTCAACATTTTACCTCTTCACATGAAGTGTGTCTATAATTGTCGTATTTTCCCTTCACAATTGAGGACTATCTAAGATAGTGTTGTAATTTTTCCTTCAGTCATTAAACATAATTTTAACAACTCAAGAAGAATACTGTATTTACTATTTTAGTTTTTTGTTCTACTTTTCTTAGCAGGTTTTAGGCACTCTTTCTGGAGTAATTTTCTTTTTATAACGCTTCTTGTAACCATTGTTTTAGCTCTGCTGCAAACAAATCCTCTAAATTTTCTCTTCCTGTGAGATGGTCCTCATTTCCCATTCATTCTTCAGAGGTGTTATTGGATTTTACATTCACACTTCAAGGTGTAGAGAATGCTGGGTTCCCTCTTTCTAAAGAATTCTGCCATTGATTGGGGCTCATTTCCCCTTGAAGGCAAGGTGTTCTTTCTGTCTCAGCTGTGGGGGAAATGCTTTCTTGGCTTCCAGAAGTTTCCATTTTATCTTTTTGGAATTCGCTCACCTTGACTCTGTTGTAGGTTTGTGTGTTTTTTGAGAGCATAATTTGTCCCGAGTTTGGAGCCTTCACATGCCATAGTTGCTCTCCGCTTTCCCTTCTTTTGGAAGTCTAGAATGTGTATTAGCATCTTTTTTTTTTTTTTTTGGTCTCTACACCTGTCATTTCCATTTTCTTTTGCTCAGATTGAATAATTTCTATTACTCTAAAGTTTACTGATTAAAAACAATTCTTACTAAAAATACTGTGAATCAAAAAGTTTACGTATTTTGCTCTTTCCTAGTTAACCCTCAGCCTTTCCGTTTTGGTCTTTGTTTTTTCTTTCCATTCCATAATCTCCATTTGCTCCTACTGCGGTCTATACTGAGACTTGTGGGAGTATACCTTGCTATCTCTCCAGTCGAGACCTTTTGTTTTTAACCTTTTGTTTATAACTCATTGGAACAGTTTTTGGGATTACTGCTCTAAGTTCCTTTTTCTGTTGTTTTTCTGTTTGGGAGCCACACCTGATAGTGCCTAGGGATTGAACCTAGACCTCCTGCATGCAGAGCATGCTCAGCCCATCCAGCTCTGCTTTCAATTTTGTCAGTAGTGCTATGCCATTTCAGTGTTCCATCTATTGATTGTCTCTTCTCAGTAACTTGATTTAAACAGTTTTTACTGTGATAGGTTATCTTTACTGAAATCTGGATATTTGAGTTATTACATTATGAGACTGGATCTAATTTTGATCTGTTACAAGCTTCTCTTGATGGCTCTTCAAACTTTAGGAAAGAGGAACATATTTTGATTTGGTTACAGTGTTGCTGATTAGGTGGCCCTGATGGTCAGACCAAAGGGGGTGACCTCACTACTTGAGGGTGGGGAAGAATGCCCAGTTACATGTGAGAAGGAGTTCCCACCAGGTCTTACTTGGTTTATGTAGGGAGGTGGGCCACGGGTTTTTAGGGGGTGTGTGTGTGTGTGTGTGTGTGTGTGTGTGTGTGTGTGTGTTTTCCTTCTCAGAAGAAGGAAAGGCTAGGAGGATTTATTTTCAGCAGAGCTAAAAGAATGGCTGCAGGAAACTTTATAAAAAGAAAATGATTGGAATATTTGGTTGAAAATGCTCGCTTGGTAGGTTGCCAGTTTCCTGGACCATTGACTAGAAGGTAGGCTTTTGTTGAGACCCTTTAAAAGAAAAGCATTTGCTGCCTTCTGTAGCATCAAACTGTAAAGTCCTGTGAGAAATGCAGAAGTCTTAAGTTCTTCGTAGCCCAGGATTCTTAACCACCTGCCTTCTACCTTCAGAGTCTTAAGTTTGCTGTATGTTCCATGATCAAAATTAAAACTCTCCAGAAAGGACACGTAAGGGGAGTCCATCCCCTGAGGGCTGCTCTGGGAACGGCACCCCACAGCTTCCAGGTGGGCTAAGGCACTCCCCATCCCTGCATTACTGCCCCAACACCTGCCTGCACAGAGGATGGGCTGAGGCTCTCCCCACGCTTCTAGATTCTAGCCAGGTCTGATCGCCTGGAAACTAACCCCTACCAGCCCCAGTTTTCCTCCCCCAGCTTTGTTGTGTTGTTTTTTTCCCTACCCCAACCCCTGCCCCCATTCAGGGTCACTTCTAGCCAAGTTGTTGGGGAACCCCTGGGGTTCCCAGGAGGGACACCAGCTCTCGCAGGGAAGCTTTTGCTCTGACTCCTGAGCTGAAAATTGGAATGTTTCAAAGTTCTCAGGTTTTATTTATTTAGCTTTTTTGCATCACACCCACAATGCTCAGGAGTTACTTCTTTCTAGCTCTGCACTCAGGAATGACTTACTAGCAGTGCTCAGGGAAGTCCAGATGGATGCTGGGGATGGAAACTGGGTCCGACTCAAAGCAAAGCAAACGCCCTACTCCCATATCCCTGTACCACTCTGGCCCTCTTGATGACTTTTGAATGCAGCAATAGCATAGGCAGCTTCTCCTTCCCCCATCTCCTTGTGCTGGGGATTGAACACAGTGCATCACACATTCTCCAGCTTCAGGAAGAGCCAATTTTTATTGCTCCTTTTTTTTCCAGAAGGGTCTCCTCTTCCCCCAGCCAGCAGTGCTTAGGACTGTTGGCTCTGTGCTCGGGGACCGTATGTGGTGCTGGGGATCGAGCCTGGGTCCACCACATGTGTGACAAGCACCCTACCTTGCTGTACTATTGGATCAGGCCCTGGGGACTCCTTAAATCAAGAACCCTTTATTGGTGTCATGAGTAAAGAAGCCCTTAAAGACAGCCTATTTTAGAATTCTTCTGATTCACTAGTGTTGGAGCCAAAGTGAGTCTTGGAATACAGGCTGTTGGCCCAATTGCACACTTAAGTTATCATACCTAGGTAGTTTCTGAAGTACTTTACAGAAGAGTATTTGTGTAATATATACGCCTCCTTGGGGTTTTTTATACTCAAAAGCGTGGAGAAGAAAATGTTACCTTCTTAGTCTTACTGCCCCTGCTGTGAAATTGTTTAAATACCCTTGAACACACCACAAGGCTGCTGAATGCAGTTGTGTAGATTGTGTTGGGTAGAACTTCAGGAGACACTGTTCATCAGGGTTTCTTCTTATGTCCCTATTGGAGTTGGGGTTTTGTGCGTAAAGGTTGTCTTGGGCATGGCACGTTGTTTAACAGCCATCGCTGGCTTCTATATGTAGTCAGGAGATGAAGGAAACCATTTCCAGGTATTTTTAACAGACAGTCTATTCAGCGTATTGCAAAAAAAAAAAATACTCCTTTATTGTGAAATTTTTCATGTTTTTTTTATCACTTATGTAGAATGTGTGCAAATATCACTAGATAGAAAAGATGTAACTGAATTTCAGTCCCATTCCCATATCAATGTGTTATGTTAAGCCACTGTTTTCATTGCCTTTTATATAATCCAGTTTCTTAGATCCTTTCTTTGAATTCATTAATTTTCCTTCAAGATCACCTCCTTATCATATAGCCATACATGGGAATGAAGTATTAAAGGTCAGTAAAGGAAGAGGAGCACATGGGATTAGAATTTGCACTTGAATGGGGAAAGATGAAGTAAGCCGAAGCCATATTAAGAGCCATATGTTCAAATAAAATAAAAGTTCATAATGTTATCTTTGCATCCTAGATCTTCGGATGCCAGAGGTGTAGGGCCAAATTTGGTTTCGGCTGTGTGTTTTTCAGATTCATATATTACAAACAAGTCTGGAAAACTATTTTAATATTTACAGCATGTATTGTGCTTTTTGTATGGTCAGTTTCTGTTTAATCAGACTTGGTCCTTAAATATGAACTCTGGCTAAATGTAAACAAATGCACATAGCTCTGCTTGGTAGGTAGATGGATAATCCAGTTTCCAGAGCTGTCGATTCTAAAGTGATTTTAAAGAGAAGGCACTTTTCATACTTAAGATCCAGTTCCTGGCAGGTAGTGCTCATTTTTCTTTATTTCTCTTTTCAGTCTTGTGAAAATGCTATTGTGTGCTGGAAGCCTGGCAAAATGGAAGATGACATAGATAAAATTAAACCCAGTGAATCTAATGTCACTATTCTTGGACGGTTTGATTACAGCCAGTGTGATATTTGGTACATGAGGTTTTCTATGGATTTCTGGCAAAAGGTAGTAAAATCTTTTTATTTTGAAATTATTTTAGAGCATTACAGTTTGGTTTTCTCTGTACCTGTAATATACAGTGATGTGAATTATCCTACCTTTGAAAAATGCACACCATCTGTGCATAGATGGTATTGACAGGTGTTGTGGGAGGAGGCTTTTCAGTTTCCATAGCATCGTTTATTAAGACTTAATGCTTAGTGTTAGTATTTTTATGTTACTCTGTCCTAGATGAATAAATGTGGAAGTGTCATTAAACTAGTTACCCTAAGTTTTTTTTTAAAAGATGGAATGTAAAGATTTTGTGGCAATAAATGACCTGTGTATAGTATTTCTATAGATAACCCACATTATCCTTTTGGGTTCGATTCCTCCTTCCCTCTCAAGACAGCCCGGCAAGCTACCGAGACTATCCTGCCCACACAGCAGAGCCTGGCAAGCTCCCCTGGTGTATTCGATATGCCAAAAACAGTAACAACAAGTCTCACAATGGAGATGTTACTGGTGTGCTCGCTCAAGCAAATTGATGAACAATGGGAGGACAGTGCTACAGTATAGTATTTCTATAAGAAGCTTTGAAGGAGTATTTCTATAAGAGCTTTGAAAGTACAGTCATAGTTCAGTAACTATGGCTATACTTTGCTAAGGTACAAGAAAGTACTAACTGATTAACTTGTAAAGCTTCTCATAAATTTGCAGAATGTTTTCATTACTTACTGAAGTCACTTGTGAGGTACAGTCTCCTTCTCCACATCTCCAAGAACGTATCCCAATCCCCAGTGGATGACCAAATGGCAGATAGTACAAAACCCATTTATACTAGACATGCAAACCGTGTTAAATCTTAATTTGCACCTTAGGCATAGTAAAAATAACAAATTAGAACAATTACAACCCCATTGTAACAGTTATAGGAATGTGATTTCTCTCAGAAAATACTTTTTGTGAATGTACTTGATCTTGGATAACTAAAACCACTATGGGAAGCAAAACTGTGGTTAAGTGGGTGACTCTAATACTGTTTTTACTACATTTACAAATCAGAAATAGGACAGTGAAATAATTAAGAACAATAGCCAGAAGCTTGCCAGGCTTTGCCGTGCGGGCCAGATACTCTTGGTAGCTTTCTGGGCTCTTCAAGAGGGGCAGAGGAATTGAACTCGGGTTGGCCATGTTGGCCACTTGCAAGGCAAACGCCCTACCTACTGTGCTATCACTCCAAGCTACCCGTGACATATTCAGTATTCCAAACACAGTAACAGCAAGTCTCAGAAAGAAAATGGAAACGTTACTGGACCTGCTCAAGCAAATTGATGATCAATGGGAGGACAGTGACACCAGAAACTTGGAGTTGAAATTTTTCTGAAATGAGAAAAATGTTTTAGAATGCACTTATACATTATAGCCTATTTTGATAAATTCGTATTTTCTTATTTGCACAGATGCTTGCATTAGGCAATCAGGTTGGCAAACTTTATGTCTGGGATTTAGAAGTAGAAGATCCTCATAAGGCCAAGTAAGTATTTAGAAATTCCTGTTCATAATTCATGCCGAAATATTACTCCAGTATTGATACAGAAATTGAATTTTTTTTTTCCTTTTGTGGTGTTGGGGATTGAACCTGGCCCTCACACACGTGACCTCTACCACTTAGCCACATTTCTAGCTGCATTTCAAATATTTGCCTGCTTCTTATTATTATTAATTTTTTGCTTTTTGGGTCACACTCAGTGATACTCAGGAGTTACTTCTGGCTCTGCACTCAGAAATTACTCCTGGTGATGCTTGGGGGACCATATGGGATGTTGGGGATTGAACTCAGGTCAACCACATGCAAGGCAAACACTCCCCCACCCCCCACACCCCGTACTGTCGCTCCAGCCCCGCCCTGTTATTTTAAAGTACTTTTTAAATTCTAATTTTTTTGAATACCTTGGTTCCAAACCATCTTTCTTCACATAAATTGTAAGGTGTCTCTTAAATCTGAGATGCACAGAATAGAAGCTAGCGTTCTAGAGCATGTGTGCAGGAGGCCCACATTTGATTCCTGGTGTGCATGGTCCCTGGAGTACAGCTGGGAGTGACCTCAGTGCTGTGAACTGTGGCCCCACAATCCAAACATTAATGCAACAGTTTTTACCTGGTACAAAACCTGTGTTGCATGTTTGAGGCCCTGGGTTCTATGCCCAGTGTGACAATATAAAAATAGTATTTGATGAAATACATTTCACACGTTTTCTTGGGAAGATGAGGTTCCTGCCACATCCAGCTGTGCTCAGGGCTTACTCTTGGCTCTGATCTTAGGTCACTCTTGGTGGACCTGGATCATACGGGGTGAAGGGATAGAACATGGGGCAGCTGCCTGTGAGGAAGTGCCTTATCTGCTGTCCTAGCTCTTTGGCCCTTCAGAAGTTGTCTCTAAACCTGTATTGCTATTGTAATTCACTGTTTCTTAACTACATGCCGATGACATTTACAAAGAGTGCTGAAAGCCGTTGTTTTCCTTTCTCCCCACCTGTGCCCAGATGCACAACCTTGACGCACCATAAGTGTGGCTCGGCCATTCGACAGACCAGCTTCAGCAGGGACAGCAGCATTCTCATCGCCGTGTGTGATGACGCCAGCATTTGGCGCTGGGACCGACTGCGATAAAACACGTTTTTCCTCATGAAAATTAGAGTATGTTTTCTGTGTAACATGGGATTAATGTATCTTACTAGTAAGAGCACATAGAACATTTAGAGTTGTCTTTTGGCATTCAATCAGGCTGAGCTGAATGTAGTGATGTTTACATTGTTTACACTCTTTGTACTGTCTCCTGCTCAGACTCTACTGCTTTTAATAAAAACTATTTTTATAAATGTTTGTGTATTTTATTTTCATTGTGATGAATTGTTGCAAGCAATAAATTTTTGTCATGTCTTTGTGTAATGATCATTTTAGGTTTTTTTGAGTTCTTTTAAATCTGAAAAAAGACTTTACAACAACTGTGGTCTTAGATAAGTATTTCAACATGTTTCCATTTCCATTTCCTTGTGAATAAAAGAGATAATAGTTTCCATAGGGTTACTGAAAGAATAAATAGAGATGAGTGATATTTTATCTACCTTCCTAAACTTACAGTACAACAGGTAGGGCATTTGCCTTGCACGCGGCTGACCTGGGTTCGATTCCTCTGTCCTTCTTGGAGAGCCTGGCAAGCTACTTGAGTCTATCCCACCTGCACGATAGAGCCTGACAAGCTCCCCATGGCATATTCGATATGCCAAGAAACAGTAACAAGTCTCACAATGGAGATGTTACTGGTGCCCACTCAAGAAATCCATGAACAACAGGACGACAGTGCTATGAACTTACCTAACTGCATTTTGTTCGGTTTTGGGCCACACCCCATGGTACTCAGGGCTTACTCCTGGCACTGTCCTCAGGCAGGCTCAGGGAATGGGCTGCCCGCAAGGCATTGGAAATCCAACTTTCTATGATTTTGTTGTTACTAATTTCTATAGTAACTAATTTCAGTAACCTTAATGCATTATAATCTGTTATATTTACTAAAATCCTATCTTCTTACTAGATATCTTTTTTCTAGAATTTTATCTTTACATGGCTGGAGCGATAGCACAGTGGGCAGTCCGTTTGCTTTGCACGTGGCTGAGGCGGCCAACCCGAGATCGATTCCTCTGCCCCTCTCAGACAGCCCAGCAAGCTACTGAGAGTATCTCGCCTGCACGGCAAAGCCTGGCAAGCTACCCGTGATGTATTCAATATGACACAGTAACAAGTCTCACAATTTGTTGTGAGATGTTACTGGTGCCTGCTTGAGCAAATCAACGGAAGGACAGTGCTACTGTGTATTTTTACAGCTTAATAAATACTGTTGACATTAAAGCCAAGAGAGAGAACAGAAACTTAAATGCAGAGGCTTGAGAAATACGAGAGGATGTATGCATGAAACAGAGTTAGACTCTCAGAAAGGTGCTGGCCTATTAAAGTAGAATGAGGCTGTCATAGGGTTAAGAGTAGTTGGTAGGGGGTGGAGATGTGTGTACAGCTGGTAGGGCACTTGCCTGATCCTGGTTCCCTGAGCACCATCGGAAGTAACTCCTGAACATTGCCAGGTGAGTGACCCACAAATGAAACATTAGTTGCTGGTTTTATCCCAGCAGTGCTGAAAGCAGGGTCTCTAGGAAAAAGAATCCTTGAAGGGCTGGAGTGTTTTGCATATAGAAGTTTTGGGTTTGAGTCCCAGAAGACTATATGGTCCCCAAGCACTTCCTAGTGTGGACCTCTCACCCCACCTCTCAAAAATTCCATGAAGTTTTTTCTAAGGTCATAAGCAGTGCTGGGTTGAGGGGGTTGGTGGCTGTTCTGCTAAGTGAAATCCAGATCTCTTATCGCAAAGTATATGTGCTTGGCCTTTGCTTTGTCTTCCTTCCCTATTTTTTTGTTGGGCGTGCTTGCTGTGGCACTACAGGCTTGATCCAGTGGCCCCTGGGGACAGCCCCTCCCCAAGCCCCTATCAAGGATTTTAAGAGTTGAGAGTGTTGCCTATATAGAGTTTTGTGCGTGTTTTACTGTTTACATGGTAACTGCACAGCAAATTTTTGGAAATGTAACTCCCAATATTTTTTAATTTTTAGGTAAATAGCCTGGTATACATGTCTTGGTCTGATTTTTTTTTTTAAGCTTATTTTGCAGAATGTTACAGGTTTGGAATTCCTAAAATAATTGGACATTAGGTTTGCAAAGTAATTCACAAAGGTAGGCAATGAAGCAACTGCTGCAACTGGCGGTGAAACAATCCACTATATATTAGGGTGCCAAAGACCAGATAGCAATTACCTTGGGATAGAACCACATTTAGATGCAGGAGTTTTGTCCCTGCACTGCACTTGGGCTTTCCTACTGTGCATTTTAATTATCACCTAATCTGCTAATTTGCTTATTTTATTTGTCCCGGTGCTCAGGGCTTTCTACTGGCTCTGCATTCACAATTCATTCCTGGCTTGCTCAGAGGACTGATCATACAGGATGCTGGGGATTGAACCCTGGTCTGCTAACTTGCAAGGCAAACACCCTGCCTGGTGTGATACCACTCTGGCTCCAAGTTTTCATATTACTGCCATGAATCTTACTATTCTCCTTCATAACTGTATTCTGAATTTGTGCATACTCTTAAATAGAATCATTGTGATTGTCCTTCATATATAGACTCCCCATTACCCTTTTGTTGTCATCATGGCTGTTTCAGTGTACTGACATCTGAAGGTTATCCCCAATGCTTGCTTGGGATGCTTGTCAGAGTGCTTGAGCACTGAGGGGAATGCTCAGTAATGAAGAGTGGTTTGGGAAAACGTATTTGGCAGGTGGGTGTTCTACCATTGAGAGCTGTCTCACACATCCTTAGTCCCCTTCCCAGTACTTGCCTCTTACTAGTGCAGTGGAAATGGTGCACAAAAGTAACTCATCTGAGGAGGTAAAGTGATCGCATGATACCCTTTCAGTAACCTTAATGCAAGCCATGGTGCCTAAAAGCTGAAAAGAAAGTATCTGCCACTGAGGCAACTGTCAGGGTCAATCTGGAACGTTGATGGCAGGAAATGCACACTGGTTGAGGTTGGGTGTTGGAACAATGTATGACTGAAAATTATGGGCAGTTATAAATTATATTTATAACTCTGAATTAGAAATTTAGAAAAGATGAACAAAGTGACTCATCTGGGAGCTGGAGAGTTGGTAAGTGGCTCAGCCAAGTTCAATCCTAGAAACCCCATATGGTTCCCTGTGCTCAACAAGGAGCAACTGCAGAGTAAGCCTTGGGCTTTACCACCACGCAGTTCAAAAATGAAACCATTTTATTTTTACTTCTTGGTACCCCACATTAACAAAATGATACCCCCATTTGATACCCCAATACTAACAAATTTCTTTTGAGTTTCCCGTTACAGGTGAGCACAGTAACATACTGAAAGGAAAGAAAAATATACTCAGTTACCTTAGATTTCCCCTTTCTCTTTGTCATCTTTGCAGTGGTTGGGAACTCTTATATGGGGAATACAAGATGAAGGCCTAAGGAATTAATAAATCCTTGGTTTGTCCTTTTTCTGAAAATGCCACGTGTTGGGCCAGTACAGGGTGTGGTGCTTCCCTTGATGTGGCAGACCCTTGCGCCCCCCCTCCCCCCCCAAGCACCACTGCAGCCAGGCCTGTGCACAGCCAGGCACAGCTCCTGAACACACTGGTTGTATTCCCCCTCCCCCCCAGAATAGAACTAAAAAGAAAAATAGTCATGTCTTCATTTCATTCAATCCAAGTTGTACTTCGAAGTGAAAGCATGACTCTTGCTGCTTACATGCCTGTCCAGGTAACTTGCATATACTATGTACGTGTTTTTAAAGACCTTTGAAACTTGAAACACTGTTACAAAGTTGTTCATGATACAGTTGTTTCAGGTGGTCAGTGTTCCAGCACCAGTCCCACCACCAATGTGATCTTCCCTTCACCAATGTCCCCTTTCCCACCCACCTCACTGAGCCTGTTCCTTTAGTAAGCAGAAAATAATTTACATTTCTTATTACAACATACACCTTTATTAATAATAATTATTAAAATTGAGGATTTACTGAGCTCTTTGTTGCTCGTTGAGCCTCCTGCGTTACTGTTTCTGCTCATTGAGCTTTAGTGGGCTTCTGTGCACTTGGTTGTCAGTACTGTGGAATCTGGAGATGTATGGCCAAATATGCTGCTGTGTGGAACTGGCATGACTTAGCAGCTTGGCTTCAGTTTAGTAGCAGAAATGGGCTACTTATATGCCCGAGAAAGTCAGGTGTGGATGGGGTGCTGGACCTTCTGGCAGGGCACGAACTCAGCCCATCACGATCCCGAGAATGTTCCATCTGGTGTCTGGGCCTACCTGGGATAATTCATCTGCAGCATCTCTCCCTGTAATATGTGTCTTAATTTGTGCTTTCTCCCTACCAGAACTAGAAAATTCACCAGCAAAATGGAGGAAAGTTCACACTAAAAACTGGGACAACCAACAGTAATTCATTTATAAAAAAAATTTTCTTTCCCTGGCTAGAGAGATAGTACAGTAGGAGGTGGGGTGTCTTGCATATGACCAACCTGAGTTTGATTCCTGGAACCCCTGAGCTTTATCTGTATTGATTCCTCAGTGTAGAGTCAGGAGTAAGCCATTGGTGGGTTTGGCTCCCAGGCCAAAGCAACACACACAAAAAATTTCCCCTAGGTACTTGAGATGGACCAAAGGAGGTTCCCAGCTATCAGCACCCGGACCCACAGTGTCACCTGGGGCACATCTTTTGTATGCAGGACTCCCCCACCCCCACACCCCAGTAAAACTAGGCACTGTATGGAGCCTCCAAGCACTGCTGTGTGGTTTAAAAACAATTTTCCCCCCAAGCTGTCAACCCAGTATTAATAGTATTGTCTAAGAGAAACAAAGATTATTGGATATGTCAGGGGAAATTTCCTGAAGAAATCATTGTATTTATTCAGAAACACTTGAGCCAATTGAGGGAGAATGTGTGAGGAATACAGGAAAATCGCTGTGTACTTGTCAAACGTTGAGACCCGAGACGACCCGTACTGGGAAGGAGGTTCCCGACTATCAGCTCCGGGACCTGCAGTGTCACCAGTACTGGGAAGGAGGCTCCCGACTATCAGCTCCCGGACCCGTAGTGTCACCCGTACTGGGAAGGAGGCTCCCGACTATCAGCTCTGGGACCTGCAGTGTCACCCGTACTGGGAAGGAGCCTCCTGACCATCAGCTCCGGACCCACGGTGTCGCCCGTACTGGGAAGGAAACTCCTGATCATCAGCTTTGGGACTCACAGTGTCACCCGTACTAGGAAGGAGCCTCTTGACCATCAGCTCTGGGATCCGCCGTATCACCCGTACAGGGAAGGAGGCTCCCGACTATCTGCTCCGAGACCTGCAATGTTGCCAGTACTGGGAAGGAAGCTCCTGACCATCAGCTTCGGATCCGCAGTTGTCACTCGTACTGGAAAGGAGGCTTCCGACCATCCGCTCCTGATCCACAGTGTCACCCTACTGGGAAGGAGGCTTCCGCTCCGGGACCCGCAGTGTCACCCGTACTGGAAAGGAGGCTCCCAACTATCAGCTCCGGGACCCACAGTGTCACCTGTACGGGAAGGAGGCTCCTACCTATCAGCTCCGGGACCGGCAGTGTGAAGGGCGGGCGCGTGAGGTGCAGGCGGTCGGCAGGTGCAGTCCCTGGAGGCCGGCAGGTGCTATCCCTGGCATCCCGGACGGTGCGCCCAACACCGGCAGGAGTCAATTCCTGAGTACAGAGCCAAAAGTAACCCCTGAGCATCTCCGGGTGTGGCCCAATAACAAACACAAAAACCCGAAAACAAAACAAAAACAAAACCAAAAAAAAAAACCCCGAACCAACCCTACTACCGCCTGCAGGAGCGTCCTCGTGGTTTCGTCGCCGGAAGCCGGTGCAAGGCCTTCTGGGACTTGTAGTCCGCGGTGCTAACCTCGCGTTCTCGAGTGGCCTCGGGGCCACACGCGCCCCGGAAGTGCTCGCCCCCGGAGGCCCGCCGGCAGGAAGCCGGGTCAGGGGTCGCCGGCGCTACTCGGCCCCGTCGCTATGTAGCGGAGGGCGTTACCTTGCGCCGGTCCCTGGAGCGCGCGGGCTGCTCGGGCCGCCGGCCGGAAGCGCGGCGCCGCCATGTTCGGTTGCTTGGTGGCGGGGAGGCTGGTGAGCGCGGGCGCGGGCGCAGGGGAGGGAGCGGGGTGGGGCCGGGCCGCGCCTGGCGGGGGCCTCGGTGGGCCTGGGCGCACTCGGGAAGAGGGCGCGCAGGGGCCTGCTCGGAGCCGGAGAAGTGCTTCGAGCTCACATTCCGGAGATAGTGCTCCCCCGCCCCCATCCCGGGAACGAGTGCTCCCGCGCCCCTCATCCCGGGCTAGTGCTCCCCGCCCCCATCCCGGGAGCGTGCTCCCAGCCCCCATCCCAGAGATAGTGCTCCCCGGTCCCCAGCCCGAGGGAGAGTGCCCCCACCCCCCATCCTGGGGGAGGGTGCTGGCCCGCCCCTCCCGGGAGGGGAGTGCAGCACGGGGAGGAGGGCGTTTCCTGCCCCAGGCGCACAGGCCCCTAAGCCCCCCCAGCTGGGTGTCCCCATTAAGCCGAAAACAAGCTGGGTACCGCTTTAGGTGGTGGTGCCTGAGATGATCCTGGATTGCGCCCGCCCCGCTGTTGGGGAGGAAGGTGAACATCAGCCACCCAGAATGAGCGGATGCTGCCCTCAAAACACTCACAGTGTACTACTCTCTTTGATGGGCCAGGACAGGCAGCTGCAGCGGTTGCTTAGGAGATTTCCCAGTTGGTGTGACTCTTTGATTCTTGCCTGTTTGAATCAGAGTGGAGGGCAGATAGATTTAATTTTAAGACGTCTTAGAATGTAACCGCATTCTTCTTTTGCTACCAAGGTTGTGAGACTGGGATCCAGCCTTTGTTTCCCTTTAAGGAGGTGGGCCGGAGTGGTAGTGAGTTGGCAGGGCGATTGCCTCACACCTACAGACCTGTGTTCTTTCCCAGCGAGAGCTCCCCCTGCAAAGGCACATTTTCCTTTCAGGTCATCTTCGGGGGAGGAGGTTGGGGCTACACCCTGCGGTGTCAGGGCTTCTGCTGTCTGTGTATAGTGCAGAGGGTTACTGTAGCGCCAGGATTCCATTCAGCCCTTGAGTCATCTTGTCATCTTCTTGACACTTTCTCTTTTTTAAAAAAAAAAGGGAGGCCTCTTTTTAAAAAGGGGGTGATATTCAGTGTGCTGGACAGCCACGTTTTGCATGCAGAAATCCAGAATCTAAGCCCCAACACTGCATGGTCCTCCAAGTACCACAAAGTGTGGCCCCCAAACAGAAATGGTAATAGAGCCCTCCTCAGCAGTGCTGAGAGGGGGCGGCTACCCCGCTCCCTGCAGTCCTCAGGGGTGCCTTTGCCCTCCTGCTTGGAGCTGTCTTTGAATTTTTCTCTTTTGGTGTCCAGAGTTTCCACCCAGGGCCTCCTACGTGTGCTAGACAGGTGCTCTACTGCTACACTTCCTGCTTCAGCGGTATATTTTTCTTAAATCCAATGTAGAAAAAAGTAGTAAAAAAGTAGTAAAAATTTTAGTTTTTAATGTATAGTTTTTTGTTTGTTTTTGGGCCACACCCACTGATGCTTGGGTAACTCCTGGCTCTGCCCACAGGTAGAATTACTCCTGGAGGTGGTGTGGAACTGTAAGGGATGCTGGGGCTTGAACCTGGGTGAGCCAGTTCAATATAAGGCAGACACCTGACCTGTTGTATTGTCTCTCCAGCCCCAACATTTCAGTTATAATCAGCAAATATTAGAAAAGAAAAACCTTATATAAGTTGACAAACCACTTGATTGCTCTTAGAATTTATTTTTTTTTTCAATGTATGTGATTTAGCACTAATCAGTAGCCTTCTCCTGATCTGAAGAAATTGATCTATGAGGTGCTGGAGTGATAGCACAGTGGAGAGGGCATTTGCCTTGTAAGCAGCCGACCGGAGTTCAGTCCCCAGCATCCCATATGGTCCCCCAAGCACCGCCAGTAGTAATTTCTGAGTGCACAGCCAGGAGTAACCCGTAGGCATCCCTTGGTGTACCCCCCCCCCAAAAAAAAAGAAAGAAATGGATCTGTGAGCTTTGTTTTAGAAACACACAGCCTCCTCAGCATCCCAGTAGCAACCTGGAGCACAGTGCTGAAAAACCCTTTTTTAAAAGAAAGTAAAAAATGAAATTTTTTGGCCAAAGTGTTATAAATTCAATTATACAATAAAAATTAGATTATGAAGTGGGTCATGTAAACTTAACTGTTTAACTTTTTGTATTTTACTTTGTCGGGCTGGAGCGATAGCACAGCAGTAGGGCGTTTGCCTTACAAGCGGCCAACATGGCCAACCCGAGTTCGGTTCCTCCGCCCCTCTTGGAGAGCCCAGCAAGCTACCGAGAGTATCTTGCCGCGTGCGGCAGAGCCTGGCAAGCTACCCGTGACGTATTCCGTATGCCAAACACAGTAACAACAAGTCTCATGATGGAGATGTTACTGGGCCTGCTCGAGCAAATCAGTGAACAACGGGAGGACCAACTGACCATGATTTTACTTTGTTAGGGTTGGCTCTGAGATCCTCCCGTCAGTGCTTAGGACTTCCTCCTGGCTTGTTCAGGAATTCCTCCCAGCAGGTCTCAGTGGACCGTATGTGGTGACAGGGAACTAACCAGGCTGTCATAAAAGCAAGAGCCATACCTGCTGCACTATCTCTTTGGCCCTCAGCTATGCTTATCTTGTTTTGTTTTGGGGCCACCCCTGGTGCCGCACAGGGCTCTGCTCAGGGATTGTGTGTGGCAGCCAGATGGGATCCAGTGACTGAACCCGAGAGCACCTTCCCACTGCACTATTGATCCAGCCCCAGACTTGCCATTTTAAACAGCAGCATCACTAACAAAAACTACAAAAAATTTTAAAATGTGGCACCAAAGAAACCCAAAGGGCACTTGTTTATCTATGAAAGATGAAACAGAAAGGCATTTTGTAGCTTTGTTCCATTTCAGCTGGGAAATGTATACTTTTTTTTAATACTCTGTATACAAATATGTCCACACAAAAGCACAAAAAAAAACCAAAAATTGATTTGGGGACTTACAAATAGATTTTGGGTTTATGAATTTTAGTGAGTTTAATAATTTGTCATTAGCCAACAATGAATCTATAATAATGAGGATTGACTATAATTAATTCTGGATTGTTTACCCATCTTAAAAGTTTTGAAGCATAAGGTTTTGGTATTGTGTTTTGGGTAACTTTTTTTTTCCTTTTTGGGTCATGCCCTGTGATGCTCAGGGGTTACTCCTGGCTCTGCACTCAGGAATCACTTCTGGTGGTGCACGAGGTACCATATGGAATGCTGAGGATCAAACCCAGGTTGGCCTCATGCAAGGCAAACACCCTACCCACTATACTATCACTCAGGCCCCTGTTGTAGGTAACTTTCATAACATTGTAAAACTAGTAGTTTGTTTTTATAATTAAAAACATTTCAGGATACTTCTGGGCTTCTAATGTAGGGTCGACTGGAGCAATAGCACAGTGGTAGGGCGTTGGCCTTGCACACAGCCAGCCCGGCCGAGCCGGGTTCGATTTCTCCGCCCCTCTCAGCCTGGCAAGCTATCGAGAGTATCTTGCCCACATGACAAAGCCTAGTAAACTACCCATGATGGATTCGATATGCCAAAACACGTAACAACAAGTGTTACTGGGCCCGCTCGAGCAAATCGATGAACAACGGGAGGACAGTGACAGTGAATGTAGGGTATTTTTGTGGGTTTTTTCTTTTTTGTTTTTTTGCTTTGGGGCCACACCTAGTGGTGCCCAGGAGTTGCTCCCATCTTGGTGCTCAAGGACCATGCAGTAATTGGGATTGAAATTTGGCCTCCTACAGCCTTTTGAGCTATCTCACCCACCCCTTGGGGATTGAATCCAGAGTTTCACATTGCAAGGCAAGCATTCTATCACTGAGCTATCCTGTCCCCTTCGTTACATATTTGAAAGGTTAGTTCTGTAGCACTATCCTCCCGTTGTTTATCAGTTTGCTCGAGCGGGCACCAGTAGCATCTCCATTGTGAGACTTGTTACTGTTTTTGGCATATTGAATACGCCACAGGGAGCTTGCCAGGCTCTGCCATGCGGGTGGGATAGTCTCAATAGCTTGCTGGGCTCTCTGAGAGGGATGGAGGAATCAAACCCGGTTGGCAGCATGCAAGGCAAATACCTTACCGGCTGTACTATCGTTCCAGCCCATTTGAAAGATTATATTCATTAAATGATCATTATAAGGCTAATTATATTTTGGGGTTAAAATAGTTGGCTATATTTAGTAATTTACTAATTACAATATCAGACTAACCCAGTGTTATAATTGGAATACTGATAGGTGGTAGTAAATGGTAGCAGGGGTTATAGCAGTATTACAAGGATTATAGAAATGTACCAAACCATGAGTTAAGACATATTTCTTATTTTCTAGGTACAAACAGCAGCACAGCAGGTGGCAGAGGATAAATTTGTTTTTGACTTGCCTGATTATGAAAATATAAACCATGTTGTGGTCTTCATGCTGGGAACAATCCCGTTCCCCGAAGGCATGGGAGGATCTGTCTACTTTTCCTACCCTGACTCAAATGGAATGCCAGTATGGCAGCTCCTAGGATTTGTCACCAATGGAAAACCAAGTGCCATCTTCAAGATTTCAGGTCTTAAATCGGGTAAGGATAATATGTTAAAATAGTTTCTTAATCTCTGTATTATTAAATAATTAAAACTACTTTTTTCTGACTGCTAAACAAATATATAACGATACTTTAAAAAAATAAATTGGAACCAGAGCAATAGTATAGCAGGTAAGGCACTTCCTTGTACACAGCCAACCCGGATTCGATCTCTGGCATCCCGTATCATCCCCGTGCACCAACAGGAATAATTTCTGAGTGCAGAGCCAAGAGTAGTCCATGACCACTGCCAGGTGTGACCCAAACCACCACCACCCCCCCCAAAAAAAGATCAGCCTGGAGAGATAGTATAGTGGGTAGGGTGCTTGCCATGCACACACCCAATCTGTGTTCTATTCCTGCACTTCATATGGTGGTGCTCAGGGGAGCACCACCAAGAGTTAACTCCTGAGTGTAGAGCCAGGAGTAACCCCTCAGCATTCTGGTGTGATCCCCCCAAAAAAAATCAGATGATGGTGCCAGTAGATAGCATAGGGTTTCAGGGTACCTGTGCCCAACTGTACTTCTGCCATCACTGTCCCCCAGCGACTTTAGGAGGAGCTCTGGAAGCTCCTGGGCACCACCAGGGGAGGTCCTGGTGCTCCCTGGTGGGTAGGGCCAAAACGGCTCTGAATCCTGAGGTGCTAGCATTGCCCTACCAGGCCCCATTGAACAAGGAGTCTCAGTGGTAGTTTGTAGTTCATAAGATAAGAAAATAGGGATTTTAAAACTTTTTGGATTTAATTTTATTATTTGAGGTACAGTTGTTAATGTTGATGCTTTTTTTTTTTCTTTTTGGGTCACACCCAGCGTGATGCACAGGGGTTACTCCTGGCTCTGCACTCAGGAATTACTCCTTGTGGTGCTCAGGGGACCATATGAGATGCTGGGATTCAAACCTGGGTTGGTCATGTGCAAGGCAAACCAAACGCCCTACCCGCTGTGCTATTGCTCCAGCCCTAATGTTGATGCTTTTGACATCCAAAGTTACTGTTCCAGTCCAGAGAGAGAGTAGAGTGGATAAGATGTTTGCCTGGCACATGGCTGGCTGGGCCCTAGCACCCAGATGTTGCACCACCGGAAGTGATCCCTGAACCAGGAGGAAGCTCTGAGTACTGCCATGTTGGCCCCAAGCTAGCAATTTCGGAACCACAGCCCCAAACCGGGACCTTTTCTGTGTGCTTTTAGTGTGCTCTGTGCTCCCCCACCCCCATTCAGGTTTGGCAACCTCAGTTCTAGGCAGTGTTACTTTGTTTCTGTTGTGCTTAGGGTTTATTCCTGACTCTGCTCAGAGGTTTCTTTTTTTTTTTTTTTTTGGGGGGTCACACCCAGCAATGCACAGGGGTTATTCCTGGTTCATGCACTCAGGAATTACTCCTGGCCGTGCTCGGGGGACCATATGGGATGCTCAGAATCGAACCTAGGTCAGGCTGAGTGCAAGGCAAACGCAAGGCAAACGCCCTACCCTCAGTTCTATCACTCCAGCCCCCAACTCAGAGGTTTCTTATGGGGGCTGGGGCTTGAATCCTGGGCAACCAAGTGCAAGGCAAGTGCCCTTTGTATTATTTCTCCCACCCCAAGGCTGAGCTTCTTAAAGTACAATCCTTTAACCAGCTGCATCAGTAAGGAGCATTATCTGGCAAGTTCTTAGAAATGAAGACTAATTATAAGTATGTGGTACCAGGAATCGAACTGGAGCCTCTCACGTGTTCTAGCCTTTGTGCTATTTTTACAGCCCTGTTCATGACCTTAAAAAAAAATCTCATCCTTAAATCTGTTTTCTTTTTTAAGTATATCTTGATAACTAGTATTTAGCTGAAATTTTTTCTAACATCTTGTTTTGGATAGAGGGTTGGACCTCCCCAGCAGTGCTCAGGGGACAGTGATCAGAGCCCCTAGTATGCTCTGGACAGCAGCATGTGTGTCAGGGGCAGAACCCAGGCCTCCAGTGGATATGGGCTGGGCTTCAGTCTGATGGGCCCTGGCTACATTTTTTGTTGCAGTTATAATTTTACGCAGGGCCCTCTCTTCAGGTTTTCTTTTTTAGGTTTCCTTAATATTTTAATGAGATTACTTGAAAATAGCATCAATGTTATTAGTGTTGCTAAACAGTGAACCTTGTAAAGTTCTAACTCAGTTCACCATACGTCTTGTGTTGTCGTGCACTGTTTTCTGATAGTTATTAATTTTGATATTCCATTTTATGCTATCAAATTGTACAGATTTATTTGTACATTTACCAATTTCTTCTATTTTTAAAAAAATTTTTGGGTCACACCTGGCGATGCTCAGGTATTACTCCTGGCTCTGCACTAAGGAATTACTCCTGACGGTGCTCGGGGGACCGTATGGGGTGCCAGGAACCTGGGTTGGCTGTATCAAGGCAAGTGCCCTCCCTGCTGTACTATCACTCTGGCTTAATTTTACTAATTTCTCTGCTGACTTTGCACATTGCATCATCTTTTACAGAATCTAAGGTCCTGTTTATAAAGACTATTAACATTGTTGGTATTTTCAAGAAATCTTGTTAGAGGCTCCATTTCTAGCCTTGGTACCACATACTTTCCTAGTAACACCAGGAACAGTCTCTGACCATTGAGCCACAGGGATGGTCTGAGCACTGCTGTGTTTTGCACAAACACAAGGTATCCGATTTGAATAAAAGAATAAGCTCCAGCTAATGAATCCTGCAACTAATAGCTAAATTGTACATATTATTCAAGTACACAGAACACTTAGTAAATCTGACTGTATAACTTCACTAAATGGTAACATCATTTAGTTACTTAATTAGATCAAAATGAAAAACACTTATATTTAGAAATTCAAATGGAACAAATTGTTATAGAAATAAAACTATTGAAGAAAGCAAAACATAAACATCTCACATCAAATGTTACAAATGCTGGTAGAGTGCTAATACAAAAATGAACTCAAAGGAGAGAGAGAGAACACAGGGGATTGCCCTGCCACAGAGACAGGGGGGATGGGGGGATGGGGGTGGGAGGGATATTATCCATGGTGGTGGAAAATGGGCACTGGTGGAGGGATGGGTATCTGATCATTGTATAATTGAAACCAAAGCACAAAAAATTGTAAATCTACAACTTTAAAAAAAATAAAATAAAATAAAGGGAAAAAAAAATGAACTCAGACTTAAGTTCATGTGTGACAACAAAGTGAGTGAGTTAAGTGTTTAATTTAGCAGTTGAAAGAAAGAGGAAAATGTTAATGCTAAGTAAAGAAAGCAATGATAGAGAGCAAAAAAAAAATAGGAGGGCTTAATGAAACCAAAAATCTTTGAAAAGACTAATAAGATGGGATCTGGAGCAGTAGTATAGTGGGCAGGGTGCTTGTCTTGTATACCGTTGACACTCCTTCAATTCCTGGCATCCCATTTGGTCCCTCAGGCCCTACCAGGACTGATCCTTGAGTGCAGAGCCAGGAGTAAGCCCTGAGCACAGCCTGGTATGCTAAAAAACAAAACAAAAAAGCAAAACAAAAAGAAAAGAAAAGGGACTATATGATGAGGAGCCATTGAATACTAAATATTGAGAAAAAGTGTTAGCACAAATAGTCCTGCTAAGATGTGGAAATGGAGACAGAATTGTAAATATATTAGAGACTCAGTAAGTTTTCTCTGTTTTTGGTTTGGGGCTACATCTGGTGATAATGAGGGCTTAGTTCTGGCTGTGCACTCATGGAAAATCCTGGTGGGCTTGGGAGACCATATGGGATGCTGGGAATGGAACCCAGTTTGGCCTTATGCACGGCAAACGGCCCCTTCAATAAGATTCATGACCAGTTTCATACCATTACATTTGAGATAACAACAGAATAGTGAAATAGACTGGTTTCTAAGAAAATACTAAAACTGCTCAAGAATAATTAAAACCATGAGTAGATTTAGTGTAAATAAGAAAATAATAATGAACATGTAGCCTTTTCTCTGCTACATGGAGCTCTTAGGCCCATTGGTTTTACAAGTTCAAGTAAATTTCTTTTCTTTATTTTGGATTTAGGGCCTGGCTGTGCTCAGGACTTACTCCTGGTTCTGTGTTCAGGGGAATCATTCCAGGCAGGGTGTGGGGAATTAAATGGGGTGCCAGTGAATAAATCCAGGTCAGCTGTGTACATAGCAAGTGCTCTACCTGCTCTTTCTCTGATTTCTGTTAGGGGTTGTTTGTTTTGAATTGGCTGTCTCGTATTCACAATACCAAGTACCAGATGCCCAGAGCAGTAGCAGAAACTGACAGCTGGATGGGATGAATGTGGGTAGGACACTGGGACACTAGCTTAGGGAAGCTGGCACTTTGATAAAGGTGTGGTGCTGGAACGTTCCATGATGAAACGCTACCATTAGTAATATCAGAAACCGTGGTGCAGGGCTGGGGAGCAGAAACTTCCTCAAAGAAGACACGTGGGTCTGGCTCACTAGTCAGGGAGATGCAAATCCAAACAACGATGAGACATCATTCCACACCAGTGAGCTGGCTCACCCCAAAAAAGGAAAACTGCCAGTTGTGTGGATGTAGAGGGAAGGGACCCTCATTCGCTGCTAGTGGGAATGTCCAGAGGCCTAGCCTTTTTTGTAAACAATATAGACAATTCTCAGAAAACTAGCAATTGAACTCCCATTTGACCCAGTATTTCTACATCTTGGCATCTACCTCAAGGACCCCAAAACTCTATTCAAATTAGCCATTTGCACTCCTGTGTTCATTGTAGCACTATTCACAGTAGCCTGAATTCTGGAAACAACCCAAGTGTCCATGAACAAATGATTGGATAAAGAAACTATGATACATGTGCAAACAGTGGAATACTGCTCAGCTACAAGAAAACATGAAATCATGCAATTTTCTGCTCCATGGATGTATTTGGAAAGTATCACCCTGAGTGAAGTTAGTCATGAATGGGGCAGACAGAATGATCTCTCTTATGTAGGATAAAGAAATGGCGGGGGGGAGGGGTGATGGTGGTGGTGGGAGGGAGTA